GACTGAGGACGACTCGTTGAAAGCACAACAGAAACCGTCTTCTTTACCACCCAAAGAAGAACTAGACATCGTAGTCGAGAGTCCGGAAAAGACAATTTTGAAGAAGACCAAGAAGCTCGATGGAGCCCCCGTCCCCTCAGGGGAAAAAGAAGACGCCGAGGCTGAAGCTACAGGACTAGAGGACACAACAGATCTGGAAGCACCAACTGTGAAAGAAGAAGCAGTAGTAGCTGAGGAGCCATCATTGATTGAAGAACCAACAGGTCTTGAAACGTCGACGTGGATCGAGGAACCAACATTGCTTGAGGTAGAAGAGGAGGAACAGGTAGAAGAGGAGGAAACTATCGAAAACGAAAAAGACGACGAAGAGGAAGAGGCCGTAAAACACGCATCAGATGACGAAGAGGAAGACGAAATGATATCGGAAACAGAAGACAGCGATGTTGAAAACGGGGACGAAGAGAAAAGACCCGAAGGCATTGCTGTGGACAAGATCGATCCCAGTGACTTCGAAGTGATCGAAATCGTCGAAGTGCCAACCAAAGGGAAGAAGAAGAAGGACAAGAAGAAAGTGCTCATCCACACCGGCGAGGAAGCGGTGGACGTCCTCCACAAGCTGGCCGAGGAGCAGATGTCCAAGCACGCAGCCGCAACCACGACGACCCCCAGACCCCCGTCCTACGAGTGGCGCGCTGGCAACTGGTCAGAGGTACGTCTAGTTATTCCCTGTAGTACTTTTAGTCATTTACTATCATTTGATATCGTTGGCGTTCTTGCTCCTTAAATAACCCTAAACTGAAAACAGATTTGATCAATGTGTGAATCCCCCCCCCCCTTACAGTGTAGCGTGGAGTGTGGAGGAGGCGTGAGTACCCGAACTGTGGAGTGCCGAGACCAGGTCACCGAAACTCTTGCGGATCCACGTTTGTGTGACCTGTTTCCGCCCATCGACTTGAAGTCCTGCAACATCGTGAGTGACCCGTTAATTTTGTGTGTGTGTGCGGGTGTGTGTGTGTGTGTGTGTGTGTGTGTGTGTGTGTGTGTGTGTTTGTGTGTGTGTGTGTGTGTGTGTGTATGTGTGTGTGTATGTGTGTGTGTGTGTGTGTGTGTGTGTGTGTGTGTGTGTGTGTGTGTGTGTGCGCGCGCGCGCGCGTTCGTGTGTGTGTTTGTGTGTGTGCGTGTGTCCGTGCGTGCGTGTGTACGTGTGTCTGTCTGCCTGTGAGTCACAGAGAGAGAGAGCGCGGGTGCCCTGTGTATGCATGTACGAGATAGAAGGAAGAGAAAATTTATGCCCATGAGCTTCGCTTGCCCTGCCATTAATCTCCGCCTGGAGCCGTGCAAATAGCCCTATTTCCCTTCCTTTCGTTCAGCTGGAGTGCGCGGACTGGGAGGTCGGGGCGTGGGGCGAGTGCGAGGGTGAGTGCGACCTCGGAGAGAGGCAGAGGGCCGTGTCGTGCCCTCCTGGACGTCGCTGCTCCCCCGACGCGCGGCCGCCCGAGGCCGAGCCCTGTGAGCTCCGCCCCTGCGTCGCGTGGGTGGAGGGGCCCTGGAGCCTGTGCACCAAGTGAGTCATCTGTCGGTCAGTCTGTCTGTCGCTCATTCGTCCGGCAGTCCATCTCGTGGCTGCATGCGGACGTCTGTCTGTCGGCGGGTCCTTCCATTATCAGGCTTGTTATAGGTCATTCCATTTATCCATCAAACTCAAACCAGTAATTATTTTGCCATCGCCGTTCGTGCATTCAAAGGACAGGGATAAGAAGTAAATGGAAATTTTAGAGGGAAAAAAAAAGAAAAAACAGAAAGAAAGAAAAAAAAAAGGGTTGTGGAAAGACTCTACTCTTATAAACACCAGAACAGTATTTCTTTCACTCTCCCGTTACCTCCAAAACAAACAAACAAACAAACAAACTCACACGGCCCTCCCCTCCCCCCCTTAGGTCGTGTGGAGGAGGCTATCAGATCCGCCACGTGAAGTGCGTCGACGTGCGGACACAGGAAAAGATGCGGACGTGCAATCGTGACTCCAAACCGAAGCATAAATTGGCGTGCAACAAGCACCGGTGCCCGAAGAACAGACGAGGTAAGAAGGAGACGTTAGATAAAAATAGGTATGAACTGAGAGGGAATAAAGAACGAGTTACGATGTTTTTTTTATGATACTGATTTATTATTTCCAGCCATCTGTTTGGAGTCCTTGTTCGATATTTTCTTTCTGTGAAATTGATCATAATTTACAATCGGGCTATATTTCATTGTAAGTGTCACCCTGTGCTCACCTCCATCGCCCTTCTTCTTCCCAAACAGGTCAGCAGAAAAGGTGTCGTGACCGCTTGGACACCAAACTCTGCAAGCGACTCAAGCGGATGTGTACCACCAAGTTCTTTGCGATCAAATGTTGTAGGACTTGTTTGGGAAGCCACTGATGACGTCACGCTATTGGTGATGACATTGCGCGAACGGATTGATGGCGTTCGTAGATTCACCGGATGTAGTCAGATTC